ACACATCACGTCTCTTGACCCATATAATAAAATAAAAATAATTTTTCGGTTGTTAACGAGCACTAGTATTGTGTTGTGCTGTTGAGAATATAGTCAAATTAGAAACAGAGAATATTTTATCAAATTTTATTAAAATCCAAAATTTCAATTCCAAAAAAAACAAAATATGAAGATTTAAGTAGTAAAAATTAGGAATATAGTATCCGCTTTCATGGAGAATTAGTTTATTCTTGAAACTTTAAAATGGTTGTGTATCTTGTTTTAAGAATCTTTAACTCTTTTTAGAGTAGGGTGTTCGAATAATATTATACCTTGCTAAGATTGAATTCATTTCGCAGACCCAACGACTATATCATTAGTGATGCTCAAATTACCTATTGTTTGACGAGGTTAAATATTTATAACCTGGATTTAAAGGCTCCAATTCTAACCTAATGAGAAAATTTTTATCAGTACTCTTCTAAATTTTGCAGAATATTTAGAAATTGGCATTAAGGCATCTTTGAAAATGGGAGAAATAAGGGGATAGTACTATTATTACTCTTCAAACGTGAAATTGTTTAGATTGTTTTGTTGTGTGGAAGAAGATATTAATTTTCTATTTCGAATATTTCAATCGGACGAGTTTATATTTGATAGGTAATAGGACATGTGATTTTTCTTATAATACAGTTAAAACTATTGAGACGGTCAGTTCGGAGCTTTCGTATGATCATATGTTTTCCCTTTTATAGAGGGAATAAAGTTTATACAGAAAATTTGATGTTATTTAGATAATGCGATGGTTTCAATTTATTTAATAGAAATTTATTTATATAAAACTTTAAAGTGCCGAATAAATGCAGCTTTAATGTAATAAATATTTATTTATTACATCAATATTTCTCATTAAAAAATTACTAATTTGCTAATTGCAAATAATTTCATATTTTAAAAAAAATTATAAATAAATGTTATCTTTTAAATTTAATTCCATGTCAAAATTTTTTTTTGAAAATCTTATAAACCTATATTCTTTTAGACTTAATTCAGCATCATATGCATAAATGTATGGCGAACTTCAAGGGAAGGCATTAATTAAACTGTATTACAGCCGAGTAATCATGTTAGGAATTATTAGCCTTAGTCTTACTATGTCACGAATACATAATCTTTTAGTAGAGCAATTTTACTCTTAAAAGATAACTTGAGTCCTGGATTTAGCTAGAGTGCCAGGAGCTTGTGGAAAATTAAGATTTAAGATCTAACATGAATCTTGTGGTCCTTAATAATATCTTTTAGAGGGAAATATGATGCCTAGTCTACCACTTGATCCCGGGTTATTCCAAACTTAATGTTGAAGATTTCTCCAGTAAATAGATTGATTCCCATATTTTTAATATTTAAAAAAAACAGAGGGCAATCATTTGAGCATAAATAATGCACTGTATATTAATAAAAACAATAAGAAAAGTATAAACAGCTAAGTCACATTCAGCCGGGGATTCTATATATGTTAGTTTGTTTTGATTATCGAACTTAAAAATGTGTATTAGGTAATAGTTTGATTGAATTCTGATTTTCCTGCTAAGAACGCTACAAAGCGATGAATCGAATCGAATCTCAATGTTTATTTCAATTACTTTATTGATCCTATTGGATGTTTCACTAAATATTTAGATTAGTTTTTATTGATAAGTTCGTCTTCGCGTGTAATTAAATAATAATATAATATTTTGTTTAATAAATTTTTTTTTTTTAAAAAAAAATAAGAATTCAAGTTCAATTAATAAGATTATAATATTATTAGTTGCAAAATGTATTATTTACTAATCTATTTAAGATAACTTTTTAGTTAAATATTTTTTTCAATATATATTATTAATAAGTTCATGTATATGTTATGTAGTATAGTAAAGGGAAATAAACATTTTTTATGGAAAAAAAAAATTAATGCCTAAAAATTTGGTCTGGGCTAGGGAGGTTGGGTAGGGGGAGCCTTAATTTTATTTTGAAAATATTAAATAAAAAGAATATATATTATTATTAAAATATTATAGCAAAATATATTCCATGAAATTTTCTTGAGTTGGGATGTGGGTCCTAATTTTGATTCCAAATCTTTTTTATACCAATGTCGAGATACAATTTTGAAAATTGAACACAAGCCAAAAAATGTTTAATTTGCTAAAGTAAAAATTCGCTCGATAGTTAAGTAAATTCTTCTCACAATTCGCCGTGCTGCCAGGAATAACATAGCTGTGCCAGAAAAAAAGATATCCATGCAATTTAGTTATTTATATAAGAAGAAGAAAGAACTTCAAGATTAATTTACTCGTTTAATCCAATCTTTGGCAGATTATTTTTATGTATTTCTAAAACCAATCTATATTCTATCCCCACTTTCTAAACTTTAATGTTAGAATTTATTTTTGACAAAATATAATATTTTTTATCAGAGATCTACTTTATTTAATAATTATTTATATCTATTGATAAATAATGAAATTGCTCGTTTTGTAACAAATTTTATCTTAACAATATAATATCAAAATTACAACAATTACAATGTTATTAATATAATACTTTTGCAATTCCAATTTACAAATAATAATGGTCTTCGTTGTCAATAAAATTAAGATCAATTCGAAACATATCATAATCGTTAATAATTATTTCCTCTAAAATAAAATAAAGTACGTCGGAAATAATAAAAGTGAACATAAGAAAAATGAGCATTCAGGGTTTTCCTATTTTCGGATGGTTGATTTTTTTAACCATTTATATCATATATTACCAATATATGGCCACCATCCCACTATTCTTTTACGAATCATCCCTCTTTTACCTTTCTTCTCTCTTTCCTTCATCTTCCTCCTTTGTATATATGTTATTTTTATTATTTGTTCTTCCCTATTATTTTATTTTCATTTTATCTCCTACTTTGTCTGTTTCCTTTCTAACTTCATATATCATTTATCATCTGTTTTCAATTATCTTTACTCGGTTGTATTCCCTATTCTACCAGTTTTTATAATATTTTTTATTTCTTTTTCCTCCGTTTTTCCTATCTTTCTACTTTTTCTCTATCAGTTTTATTTGTTGTTTCATTTTCCCTCTGGCTTGTATAATTTTGTCTCCAAATTATTAATTGTACTTTTCCAACCTTTTGTCCTTCATCAATTCTTTGTTGTGCGATATCAGTCCCTACTTTAATCGAATCTTGTTGTTTTCTCTTATTCATGATATATATTTTTGTTAGATTCTTATATTCTCTCCTAACTTAGTTTCGCTCTTCGTCTTGTCTGTCTCCTTTTATTATTTATCCACTACTATTGTTTCAATCTTTAGATTCGTTTCGAGCTAGAATTTATCGCTTCCTTGAATTTTTCTTCTCCATTGCCTATAATTGTTTGTAATTTTCTTTGTTGTTTACTATTGCCTTTGCTGTTCTTCATTTCTATTTATAAATTTTATCAAGATTGCTTTTCTTTTTATGTCATGTCTATTTCACTCTCTTTAATTCATGTCCTCTACTCCCTTTCTCTTGTTTTATCAGCTTCATGTATCTCCTTCCTCGTAAATCTAATTATACTATCATCTCTGGTTTTCTTTTATCTCATCTTTCTTGCTATCTCTATTATATTTTCTATTCTATTAGTCCTAGCATATATTCTCATTCTCTTGATCCTTTTATCTAAAATACCCTTTAATTCTATTGATCATTTGTTATAATCAATTTTTGTCGATTCATTTGTCTTAATATATTATTCCTTGTTTTCTACGCGCTCAATCTAATTATCCACTCATTGTTCTCTCCTAGACACACTTGTATCTTCCCCTCCCTTCTCATTTTCATTCACTTTTTTCTTTTTTTTTGTATATTTGTTTTTTGTGTAAATGTGTGTTAATATAATATATTTATATTAATTTGTACCATATTAACTTAAAATTTATTTATAATGATAAAATTAATTATAATTAAAATAATTTATAATGATAAAATTAATTATAATTAAAATAATTTATAAAGATATAATTATATTTGATTAAAATATTATGATCAAAATATAACTAAAAATTCATATATAAAAATGTAATCATTTAAATTAAAGTCATTTGTAATATTTTACCCGTGTGAATTTTCCTAAATTAAATAATTTTTTTTATAATTTGTCCCTTCGACTATACTAATATTTAAAATGAATGAAAGATGTGATATTAAGTGCACTAGCTCTAAACGTCTTATATATAACAGAGTTATACAGAGCAACGCTTAGTTCTCTCATGAAAACCCCATCAGAGAAATAAAGAGGATCATCCACGTTTTTTGGGTAGGTTGCAGTTACCTGTGCGCGCAAGAAGTAAAGCAACTTACTTAAGGTAAAAAGCCCATGCCGATTAAATAAAAATTTGATTATGAAAGGGTTATATTGGCTATGTTGTTTTTTAATTTAATTAGCATTTTGAGTAGTGTTGTTAAAAAGCTCGATTCGGGTCGATTTTAAAAAACGGCCCCGATTAAGATTATAACCAAGATAACATTATTCAAGCTTAAAGATTTAGCTCATAGCTGGCAGAAATGTTTGGACATCTATTTTCCAAATCTTGATACTTAGATAATGTTATTTTAGCTAAAATCTTGATCGAGCCGTAATAAAAAATTGACCCAAATCGGGCATTTTAACAACACTAATTGTGAGAACCAAGAAATAAACATATGATTAAATAAAAAAGTACTAATACCAGTGCAAATACAGTAATCAATAATACTAGTTTATATCCAACTTTGAAGATAATCCCATTCCATATTTAGTATCCATCATCTATTTTGATCATTTAATAATTATAAATAAAGACTGAGATATGATTGAATGAATAAATGAATGAATTAATAAATAAATGAACGAATGAATGAATGATTAAAGGAATGAATCAATGAATTAATGAATCAACTCATTCGCCTCCATAATAATAAATTTCTCACACCTTTTTATCACACCTTTTTGAGTAAGGTTTCAAATGTCTGATCTAGTGACAAAATTTACCGAATTGACAAATTGTAAGGCAGAAACAGCATTATCATATTTATCCAAATATGAATGGATTTTAGAAGTAAAATTTTTTTTTAGAATACAATATGATTAAAAAAATATATTTAGGATGCGTTATATCATTATTTTGAGGAAGTCTCTGATAAACCAGAAAATAAAAATTCTAATTCCTCTGAAAAAACTCGAGAGCTGAATAAATCTGCTGGCCATGTTGACAAAAATTTTAAAATTAATAATACATCTAATATTCAAAAGGAACATAAGTTTTTTATAGATTTATTATACATTTTAACCTTATATTAGAATCCAAACTTTAGATTCAATTTTAAAGGATAATAAAAATGAAGACGAAGGTGCTCAAGCCTTCTATGCAGGTGGATCAGACAAAAGGTTCTTTATTTAAAAAAAAAATACAATTATTTTTATATATAGTGGGCAATTGATACTTGGACCATCTTCATTTAAAGACAAAAAAGGAATAGACAATGCTATTGAAAATATTTTTAAAACTGCACTAGAGTAATATATTGTATAATATGCTCTAAAAAAATATAAATATTCTATCTAATAAGCAATGGAGCTAAAGAAATTAATCCTTCTGCCCTCACAGATGCTCTTAAAAATGTTAATCCATCTAGTATTTTTTCCTCCAACAAAAAGGCATTTAGTGGTAAAGGATATGTATTAGGAGGTTTAATCATATTTTATGTTAAAGATATACAATTTAAATTTATCTGTTGATTCCAGTTAAAGGAAAAACTTAATAATGTATTGATACCAGTGGTTGGAAACTGCCGATTTATATTATCATAAACCTGATTTTGTTTTTTATACATATTTTTTAATTTATCAATTTACTATTTTTTATAGTATGTCACTGTCTATGATTATATCTTAGCAATTCATTTTAAATAAATTACTATCAAATATTTGTTCCAAAAGTCATTCTGTCATTTAAAAAGTAGCACCCCATTAAACCTGCAATATTCTATAAGTTAATTTGGTGGATTTTTAAAGATTAATTTGTTTAATTTTTTTAAATCAGAGTTTTGCTAAGCCTCACCTAATTTTTTATGTATAAATTGCCCAGCCCTGACCAAAATTTTTTTTATTAAAAAATTCTTAAGATTTATCCTTTAAAAATTGAGGTAAAAAGGACACCACCTATTGTGTAATTTTTTCATTTCACCTCTACTAAATACTTTTTTTTAAATATTAAATAATAAAAATGATATATTTTTTAAACAATATTAAAATGATTAATTTTTATGAATAAGCATATTCAGAGAATTAAAAAAATAAAATGCCAAGAATTGCTGTCCTTTATTCTTCCAAATATCATGCATCTATTTCCTAATTAAATCTGTTGATCATTTTTAATAAGTGACATATAATAAAGTGGGAAATGGAAATCTCCATCTTATGAAGTTTGCAAATTTTTTGTAAATAGCATTTTAAACTAATAAAAATTATCCCTCCCCTCTCTTTATCTTAATGAATACAATAATAAATTTTTAAAAATAAATGATTACATTTTAAATAATTAGATAAAATTTTCTATTTTCAAAGGAGAAATGTCAAGATAATTTTTTTTAAATCATTTTTTTTGTTGCTGGTTCGATAAGAAGGTGATCATGAAGGGCAGCAAAAAAATACAGACGATTCTACCCCCATGGCAGACGATTCCTTACACCTCGAAACAGCAGATGATATTTATCGTCGCATTTTATCTTCATCAGCCATTCCAGCTTCTCAACGTCCAAACGATAATTCCTGCATAGTATTGAGACTTTGGAGAGATGGTATACATCATTATTTATTTACCTGTCAAATCATTTTTTATCCTTTGAACCTTTTTTTTGAAATTTGTGTATGGTGAAAATTAGATTTTACATCAGCTAAATTTTAAAGTTTATACAAAAAATTATATTCTCAAATTCTTTTAATGTTTAGTTTGGAGAAAAAAAAACATGTAATATATATAGTAATGAATGATGTAATGGAATCCTGTCAGAGTTATATTTTTTTGTATTGATAATATTTAGAATATTTAGTAATATGTTGTGTTATAAGCAGACTTTGGAACCAAACTCTCGAACCCTTTCATTTTATAAGAACTAGATCCAGAGTTTGAAATGTTCTCTCAAAAATTTTCGATCTTGAGATTTATTTTTGGGAATGCCCAAACAATAAATCTTTTGTGATTTTTATTCATAAGACAAATCTTTCATGATTAGAATCACAAATTTTTCTTAAAAAATAAATTATTTAATGTTGTGATCTCCAAAGATTGTTAGTTCATAATTTTTGAAGATTTTTATTTAAACTGTGTTCATTTTAGGGTATTTATTGCTTATATTTTTTTTAGCCTGGAATTTCAGAACAGCATCAAATTTAAGAAACACTCACTTTTTAAAGAAAAAAAATCTCAGTAACAGATCTAGAATCCTTTTTTTGGTCCGGTTCATAACGTCTTCTTTTTTTTTATCAAACTCTGGGTCTCCTTTTATTAGATTGATAGAGGAGGACACTAAACATTTTTTGTGGATTAAAAGAAGCTGTATATAATAACATGAAAATATTTATTTATTTTTTTTAGTATACCACCATGTTTTTTTTAACATTATATAACATACCAATTATTCATATATATATATATTATTCTGTATGATATATTTTTATATCAAAATAAGGTTTTACGATTGACACGGAAAATGATAACGATGAGAATGAAGATGATGGTGAGGAGGACGATGAAGGAGAAGGTGATTTAAGGAGTTATTCAAACCCCGAAAATCAAGAATTCCTTAATTCCGTTTTGAGAAGGTAAATACTTTTTTCTTATTATTTAAGTCCAGAAAGAGCAAAGTGAATTTATATCATTGATTTTTTATCTAAATATTAATAAAAATATATATGATTCGATGTTCTATTTATTGCCCTTTATCTTTTTTTTAGTAATTTAGTCATCATTTACAATTTATTCACTTTTAATAATTCAGTCACAATTTACATTTTATTTATCAATCCTAATACAAGGAAATAGCAATAGTATATGTGTAGTCAATAATCTATTACGAAGTTAACCAACACCTATTATATTAATTATATTATCATATCTAAATGACGAATATAATTCATAATATGTAAATAGAATATTACAATAAATTACTCCTTTATTAAGTTATCATTTTTAAATTTTTTATCTTATATATCATTTTAATAGAATTTTGAGTTTCGTTTTATTAATTTTATATTAAATCCAATTAAACAAGAATCTAGTAGTGTGCAGGAAGAAAAAATATAATCATGAATTACAGGGACTTGATGTCTTGGGGAACATTAAAGTTTAGAATACAACTAAAAATTAGAAAGCTGATGATTATAACAAACGAATAAATGATGAAATATTACGAATCTCATTTACGTTTTATTTTTAGATTAAATAAATTTTTAAACTATGAACACAGGGTAAAATTAACATGCTCAAAATTGCCCCATTTACGGTTTACCTTCTATTTTTTTTAATCAGAATTGCTCTAGAATTGGAACCTTATTTAATTTAATAATTTTAAAAAATTACTCCTCCCCCCCTCCTTAACTTCCTTATTTCCAATTTCATTTTAGATTTAATAGTCGACTAGTTAACTAAATATATGTTAAATTTATTCGACTATTGGCACTCAGTTTCTATTTTAATCTAGTAGGACAGAAGGACTCCTTTAAAAAATAATATTTTTTTTTAAAAAAAATTTGATTTTTTTAAAAGCGAAATACCACCCGAATTATCGAGAAAAATGGCTGGAAGACATTTGAATCTAATAATGGAGGATCATAGAACAACGGATTTTGAGGGAAAGACGACCAAAAAGTCGAATCTTTTCAATTCTTCCTGCTGTTCTACTTCCGCCAAAGCTTCTAATCGCAAAACGAAGCCTTTTACTGGCGCGGGTCATATTCTTGGAAGGTTACTTAAATACAAATTTTATAATCTATTTATTTGTTTAAATTTAGGGTCCATTACTCCCCATCCCATTACAAAAACATATAACTTAAATAAAAGTTGATTGTTTTTTCGAGAAAAAATGATTTGACATGACATTTTTTTATTTTTTTCAACACTAATTAAATCAAAATGAAATTGTATATATTTTTTTTATCAGTCCGAGTCCTAGTGTGATAACAGCTACTTCATCCGTTTCCGGTATTTTGAAAGGTGGAAATCATCAACAAACCTTAGAAAATGCCACACTCTCTGAATTCGACGTCAACAAACCTGCTACTAAAATACAGATTAGACTCGAAGATGGTACAAAGTAAGATTTTTTTGTTCTATAAAGTTAATGTTATGCAAATCTAATCATTCATCACTATATAATCAATTAAAAATTATAATAATTTTTCTTTAAATATGCAGACTTTCACTCAAATGCAATTTGCAACATACCATAGGTGATATCAGAAAGGCCATTGTAAAGTAATAACAAACACTATGCATATGTTATATCGTTATAAAATCTTGCAGGGTGGGAGAAAGTATATATACAATATGGAATATATTTAACTTAACAAATAATATTTCAGATAATATATTCACGCTCGATTATTGGAGTGTTACAGGACAATGGACTAAGTTTCAATATAAAAATTTTAAAAAAATTTATGACACTATATTAAAATTATCTTGGTCCTCCAGTACCTTGTGTACTAGGGGGGGGGGGGGGGTCTGCAAATGAAAATCATTTTGAACAAAAAAATTTTTGAATTTGTGATTTCAATTTTGAAAGATTTTGGCATTTTTAGGTAAAATTTTATCAAAAATCTCCCTTTAAATATATTCTTCGAAATTATTTGAAGATCACTTTCAAAAATTTTAATTAAACATAGTGATCTGCATCGGGCCAAATTTATCAAGCCCAGCCTGGCCCGAATTTTTTTTTAAAAAGGTTTTGCCGGACGGGCCCGAACCCGAAATATTTTTAAAAAAATTTTGCCAGCCCGATCCCGAAAATTATTTTAAAAAAATTTACCGGCCCGGCCTGCCCCGAATTTATTTAAATATAGAAATTAATTTTAATTACTCAAAATAAAAGACATGTTATATGCCGTTTAGTTTCAATTAATAAAATCATATATTTTTATTTGACATAAAAATTCAATTATAAAATTGATAAATTTAGATATATTTAAAATAATTTCCAAGGTCCGGCTCGACCCGGCCTGAATTCATTATAAAAATATTAGGCCTGGCCCAAACCCAATTATTTTAAATAGAGGCTTAGCCTTGCAGATCTCTAATTAAACATTCCAACATTCGAGCGGCTAAATATTATATATCATTTCAAACCCGTCGCTCACTCCGAAGATCTTCTGAAATTATTATATGAAATCTAATTATATATTTTAATGAAAAAATGATTAGGTATATTCCGAAATACGATAGCGTGGTTTTCAAATTACTTGTATCATTTCCTAAATTAAATCTAGATGATGATAATCTTACAATTGAACAAGCAAATTTGATTAATAGCGTTATAATTCAGAAGATTATTTCATAATTATTACCTATATTGTAATGTCAGCTACCTACCTTTCAAAGATGTAACTTATAATATAACTCTTTCTTCCTAATTTATTTATTATTTTTAAATGTACAATATGCCAATTTATGCTAAAGTTTGTTCAATAAACTATATATTTCGAGTTGGGGTTATTTTAAAAGAGAATGAAACTAAGATCAGAAAAATATAAAATGTAAAAATTCAGTAACATTATATATTCATTAATATAATGATCGAGGAAATTTAAGATTGTAAGAATTTTTCTTAGAAATTAAAATAATGTGTAGGAATTTAAAGTATTGTGTTAGACAAGAATTAAAGATAATTATTTACGTAATACAATGACATATGTGTTGCAATATAATTTTACATTTCCTTATATAACAAGAAAAATAATTGTCTTTCGTATATAACCGCAGAAAAGTAGGAATAAACATTTATATAACAACGCTAATATATATCTTTTAAATAGATACATACAACTCTTTTTGTTTTTAATTAAATAAACATTATATCAAAATATATATAACTAAATAAACAAATATATATAACTAGGATGATATTTTGTCTCTGTTTAAGCCATTATAAAATAAATTTATTAAAAAAATGGTATATATATTTCTATATAAAAAATTAATCCATAAAATTTGATTTTTAAAAAAATGAATAATTTTTTCACTGCGTTACACCTTACTTTAATATTTTATTTCGTTATTTCAATACATATCTTATATTTTTACTAAATTTCTTTATAAATTCAAATTTATTAATCATTGCTTTATTTTTTAAGAGCGATTTATTTTCATATATCTTACAGGGAGGTAAAGATAAGTTTTTATATAATCGTCGTATAAATATTTTTATTAAATTTAAAAAATTTTAATGCGCCAGAAAATTTTCAACTGACATTTGTAATGCTTAAAATTGGGGTCAGCATAGCTGTTCAATGACCTAGTCATTAGACCTTACTGATAAAACGTTATAATAGCCTAACATCATAACGCTATGCTTATTTCAAAGTAAATAATATAGCTGAGATATTGCTTATCAATATAACAACCACATGTCTTCTATCATAAGAAATGAAATAATGTAATAAATACGTTTTACATCTGTATGATATGATTTCTTCTCTAAGACTGCTTTTCTATTCCCACAATTTTTTATATATATATTTAATATGACAAATTGAAATAATTTATTTGAGTATTTTTAAGGATCCAACCCTTAACGCACATCATTTTAGGTTCGGATAAAATAACCGTTCAGATTCTTATCATAAAAATTATATCCGTTCAGTTTGAGCTTTTAAAACATGTTCAGACCTTTTAACGTACAAGCATATTAGAAATATATAAAAATAGAATATTTTTTTAGCTTTTTTCACTATTCTCCAAAAAATAATATTTAGCCTTACAAAATTATCTTCTAATGGTAGAGAACACTACTATATGATAACTTAGGTAGTTGGCACAAATAATATAGAAAAATTTACTTAAGCTTTTTAGTCAAAACGGACTATTAATCATCTTTAAAAAATTTAAAATAGCCAAAGGTTCAACCCGGTCCACATCTTTTTTGTAGGTTCAGGTGATATAAATTTTACTGTTCAATCTATTGTAATTCTACAAATATGTTTATTGCTGATAATATAAAAATTTATTAATAAAATTTAAAAAAAAAATGTTTTTAAATTTTTTGATAATATATTAATGACTAACCATTCATAATTATAGGTTATTATCTCTATTTAGACCAAAAGACTACTAAGTACTAAGTGAAATAATTTTTGAACCCTAAAATTTATAATCAAGGTAAAGTTAGCGTATATTTAGTATATTTTTAATATGAGCTATATCACAGGTGTGCAATTCATAATAGTGGATGTCATGATTTCTTTATTTCCTCTTTTTCCTTATCATCATTTAAACTTCAATCATGATTTCTATTCGTGGTTTAACTTAAATTTCATATGTGATTAGCTCTTTTTAATGATTATACAGTAATTTCATATAAATAGTTTATTTTAATATAAAGGAATTTTTAAAATATAGTTCTTTGCAAATTCATTTATGGTAATAAAGAAAAAAAACCGGAAAATATATCCCCAGGAAAAAAAAATTCTGGATTTTGATTTTTTTTCTTCATACTTATAAAATTTGTCATAAGAAGCAATTCTCAATTCCAAATACTCGAATTGAGCCTGATTTTCTCCAGAAGCTTGGAACGTGAATCAGAGCACTCTATCTATCCGACGAAGAACACACAAATAATCAATAAGAATGTTGGTGTTTTTCTAATCTGGTTATTATATACATATAATCATGGTTTACAAATAAAATAAATATATTTTATTATAAAATTTTGTCAAATTTAGTCTACTTAATATCGTAATTAAGAATGGATATTGTATTTATTACTATAGCAAATAATCTTGAAAATAAGAAACATGGGTTATTTTACTGGGATATTTTTTCCCAGTACCAATTTGATCTTCAGCATTTTATCTTGTTTAAGCATTTTTTATTGAGGGTATATAAGTAACCTTTAAATAATGAATTAGGGCCTAAAGAAATTTAATATATATATTATATTTTTTCCTTAAATACTAATTTGTCTATACATATATGAGTATATTTATTATAATCCAAAAAAATATACCTATATTATTAGTGGTCTTCAGTAAATTGAGGGTTTTTTCCGGAGGTTTTTTTCCAGGATTCTTTATTTATAAGTATGACATTTTAGAGGATAGTATTTGCACTGAAGGGCAAGAAATAATCATTGTTATTTTTATCTAGGTATAGTCAGACCCGTCATGGTTTAGCAAAATATTTGTTAAATATCAGCTGGTTTAACGTCAATATGGGTATGATATATCATTTTAAAATTGAAAAATGTGCTTTTTGGTGTTAATAATTGTATGACACAATGGTATATGCCTATTCCCAATTTAAATTATATAGATGTCTATGAATCATATCCAAAGTATAATATTATATACTCCCAATCGTAATATAATTTAAGGAAGCAAAAAATAAAAAATGTAAATAATTATTCACAAATTGCTGGTATACTGATAGAACCAGGATATAAAGTTTTACCTTCAGTTTTATTAATATATTTCATGTAATAAAAAAAGATGAACACTCATAAAGTTGAAATTTATGAAAATGTACCCTCATTTGATCTCATTAAAAATAGCATGTCTTATCAAAATTTTATGCCCATTTTCCACAAAGTATTATATATATGAATTCATGATTTACATTTTAAATAAGGTTGATGCAAACAAGCAAATTAATTCTGCAAAAAAATCTCAGTTTGACTTTATAAACAATCATTTTGATCAATTAAACATATCTAAAATGTCTAAACACTTTGCAGAAAATCTATTAAATCAAAAGTGTTTAGATGGTGAATTTATTGTTAGACATAGCAATTCTCAAGTAAATTTAATTATTTTATATTATTTAAAATTTATATAAATTTACAAGTTTGGTTTTAAAAACATAATTTAAAAGTCTATTTTAAAATATTGGCTATAAATATATTGTGAAGCTAATACAATTAAATAAAATTGGTTTGGTTAAATGAAATATGTTGTAAATTACAATAACATTAGCCTTTAATTAATAATGATTTAACTCCAAAATATATAAAAAAAATTATTTAAGACATCTTAAAAAAAGTTGGCCTGGGCCAAAATACAGAAAATGTAAAAAATATATAGAAAATATTTTAACTAAACATTGTTGATAAAAACTTCCAGTTTATGACAAAACATAGTAGCAATTAGATTATTGAGCATTTTGTGGAGGGGGGGGGGGGGATTTAAAATTTATTTATTAAAACTACTATATATAATATCTATAAAAATGTTGAAACAAAAAATAATATAAACATAAATGTAATCCTAAAGTACATTTAAAATTTTTTTTGCATGTTCTGTTTAAGGAATAGGAATTCCCTTAGTTTAAGTCTTTGCGATTTAATTTTAAAAAAAAAACTAAAAGTTATAAGAGTGAACTGCCCATTGGTAGACATTGCTATTGGCGAGAATATGAAATTGCTAAGGCTTTTGTATTTGTTTTATTTTTTAGTCCTACTTGAGTAAGCAGGCAGCTTTTAATATTGATGGGGAAGTATGAGGCACATTTATAATCTCAAATAAGCGATTTTCTCATGGCCCAGAAGATATTGAATTAATAAATATATCTTTACATTGTAACCATCATTAAATTGCAACTTTTAGGAGATTCCATATATGTAAGTATACACTTGCTTATTTATTAAGGATGCTCAATTATCTAATTACAATGGTTGCACAAAATACAATCTTTTAAATTTTCTATATTTTTTTACATTTGGGATAACACTTAGGTTGACAACATTTTGTAAATATATTTTAACAAAAATCATTTTCTTTTTGGGTTCAAACCAGTTTCAAAATAACCTTCTGCCCCTTAATGTTCCAATTTGTAATCTCATGAGCCACACCTGCTCTCACAAAATTATGATTTTTTTGTATAATGTAATGTTTGGGCATGGTCTTTTTACATTTTTTTAATGTACAAATAGTACACTATGGCTGTGCAAAAATACTAACCCAATAATATTTATTTATATTAAAATTGAGTTAATGATAGTATGCTCACGTAAATGAGAGATCATTATATATTAATTAAATTGTATTTAGTTATAAATTGCAAAACTTGCAAGTTATTACTTTTAATATAAACATAGCCCAAATATTTATGGCTTTTTTTTGTTATCCCAATTTCGTCAAAGAAGTTTTATTTCAGAAAAAATATTCATCCTATCAAAGGATCAAACAAAAGAAGTAGAAAAATAATTATATCGAAATATAGATGGCTCAAATAGCTACTACGTAATTTACCATCAATTTAAAATTTTCATCGTGATTGAAAAGATATTTGATTAATTGTTATTTAAAAAAGAATTAATAAGAACTTGGGATAATAATTATATTCATGTCAATAGAAATTTTTTTTTGATTTCGTTTCTTGGATGTGGTGAGTGATCAAGAAAGATATTTTATGCATAAAAATCGCAAAAATTTTACTTATAAAACATTTGTAATTTTAGTTAAAATTTGATTAAATAACTTGTTTTTAGCATTCTAAAAAAAATCTTCAGAGATCTAAATCTTTGATGATCTTTTATTTATTTTAAAGAGCATTTCAAACTCCGATCAAAATTAATGTTAAAAAAATATCGAGATATCCTTCTTCGAAAAAATAAAATATACGAAATGAACCATAAAAAAATTAAATAACTGCTCACACCAGTAATGCGTGTTTACAATATTTACTAAATAATAACCATGATTTTAATTTACAAGAAAAACTGTATGGTTCTATCGGTTATGTTTGAACGCAAGACGTACCATTTTACTATAACTATTATAGTTACCCAACAACGCCCACAAACGCCTCCCGGAATCTCAGGCAATTCGAAATGCAACAAAGTTCCCACGGGAACCTCGTCAGATAGTAAGAACCGTAAATACTGTATCGGGAATTATACATTCGACGATTTGACCGAAATAGTAAACTATTACACGCGTCACCCTCTTTACCGCATCGAACTGAGACACGCCAAAAATACTCCCAACTTCAAACACATTTACCTCATTAAACCATATGCATAATTTTTTTTTGACTTAAATATTATTTAGTTTAATAAGCGCATTTATTTGAATTATTTTTTATGATGACCAAAAAAAAAAACTAACAGAAGATGCTTGGACGATTTATGCTATCTATTGCTAAGAAAAATAATATTTATTATTTTTATAATAATTATTATTATAAATGCTTTTTGCTTATACAACTGAATATCTCAAAATAATAATGCATATTTTTACCCTTTTATTTTATTATTTTTTTAAAAACATTTTCCATAAATATACAATTGTGATTTATTTTCTTATTTATAGGCTAATTTTAAAAATCATTTTTTTCGGGAATAATTATACAAAATATAAAATTTTATATGTTAATCCATTTCATCTTCGTCTGCTAAGTTATCAGGAATATTTGGATTCTGGGGAGCTACCATGCCTTGAAAATTTGTCATAAGATTTTGAAATATGTTATCTAAAAAAAAAGTAAAAGATCATTTGTAATTTAAATATCATTGTTCTATTAAAATTCAAGGATAACTTTGAATTAAAGGAATTTTTTTTTTAAAAAAAAATACCACTATTAATCATAATAATACACTTTTTTAAGTTATAAAATTAAGTTTAGGGTAATATTGTCAATCAGCCGAGGGCCAAATTGCCCTAGTCATTTGAAGAATTTAGTTAGTAGATGTAGATTTTTACGATTAAATTCTCTGAATGAATTGGGCCGTTTTAGATCAACTCCCCATGCTTTAAAAAAAAATATGTGCATCAATTGATTGGCGTGAAACTTCTACGAAATTTTTAGATTATTGTTACGGAACTCCATATCGGTAAATAGTTCCATACTAAAATGATAATTTCAAATTGGTTAAAATAAAAGAATCTACATATACACCAATGCCGAATAGTAGGCTAATATGGTTGGTATATGTTAGATAAGGACCCCAATTTTTCAAATACTTTATAGGGTACATATTATTTATCTCATCTGCTTGATTTTTCTATAAAACATTAATATGGGGTAATATAAGTGTATAACAATATGGAGGAGGGGGAGGGGGGTTCAAATAGATTGAGATTATTTCAGGGATCCAAACCGAACCATTAAACCGCTAAAAACCGGTATTTTTTATCAAACATAAACCGAACCTTAACCTCTAAATAAATTTATAGCCTAACCTGAACGAACCACTAAAATGCCTCTGAACCGGCTCGAGTCTCATAATTTTATGCTTATAAAATAATGTGTAAGTTATTACTAATATATTGCAAAATTTTTAATTATATTCGAATTCTTTTAAAGATTATTATCAATCACATTTAATTGATAAGTGTCAGTCATAATTTTTATAAACTTTAGTATATTGCCATTATGCAACATTTATTAAATTTTAAGCTTATAAATTAAAATGCCTAGAGAAAAATTAAATCCATAGTATTAATAATGAATGATACATCAAATCTGATATACTGAAAGTGCCGGCTACCTAAGTTAGTGTGGAAAGATGCTTTTCAACAATTAAATTTATATTATCTCCTTATAGATGTAATTTGAGTGAGAAGAATTTTGAAAATATATTAAATGTGCGGCTTAATAAAAAATTTAAATAAATGTTCATATTAAAATTAATCAATGATATTTATTTGTAAAATTTATAAATTAAACATTATTTTATAATATAAGATTAATAAAAATGAAGGTTTTATGTATGTGTTTTTTATTTTAATTATGAAATAAAAAAAAAATTCTTCTCTATACATAATTCGGTAGTAGATTTGAATACAAAAGTGTTCAAACCGGTTTTTAGAGGTTCGAACTGAAGCGAAATTTTTATTTTTTGCAAACCAAACCTGAACCTTGAACCGTTATTTTTATCCAAACCTGAACCGATATTCGTTTCGGTTTGGATCCCTGGATTATTTAACCCGATCTGAGTTCAGTAACAACTCGTAAATGCAAAAGAACTTATTCTATCATAAAGATAATATTATTGATTCATACCAAACATCCCAAAACTATTTTGTGAAGAGTTGCGAGGTTTGAGACCGAAAAATAATTGTCCTATTTTCTCCAGATACTGTTTTTGTTTTATAATTTATAAGGGGAAAAAAAATAATTTTTAAAAAAAAATTAATTAATAAGAATTTACGGTGAAAAATGATGGGTCTCTTTTTAGCGCGCGTTCGTATTTATCACATAGTATGGAAAACACTGTCAATTTATCTTTGCTTCATGAGGTAAATATAAAATAATATCATATTCGTTAATTAAATTTTTTTACTTTTGTATAGCAAATAACAGAAAGCACAAAAAATTAAGCAAGGGTAAAGGGAAGGGTGGATTGTCTTTATGTATAACTGGATGCATTTTGACATACGAAAAAAACACGATTTGTGCTGTATTTTGATTTTTTAGGCATAGGTATCTATCAATAAAAATAACATTTTAAAAAAAAATTTAAATGAATATCTAACTTTATTTATATAATAGTGGGACCTAATTGCGTGTTTGCGTTTCTTCATATGGTTACTGTGAAAATTGATCCCAATTTATAATCATTAATAAAAACGCAAACTGGTTTGCCTTTTTTTTCGAAAACGCTTAATTAGGTCTCACTATAAGACAATTTTTTAAAAATGAAAGTTTTTTAAAAATAATGTCTTAGGATTTTAGCATTGTTATGTTAAACTTATTTTTAGTATTTAAAAAATTATAAACTGTACTTGTGAAAGTATAAATTTTGACATTTATAAATATTTAATATTTTAATAAATAAAACTTTAAATAAGGATATTTAGAAATTATTAATATAATATTAACTGAAAGACAGTTTGAGCTATAAAAAGGTCGGTTTCATTTGGATAACCATAGTTGACTGCGTAATCTATTAACATAGAAGCGCACGATTCATAATCCGACGATCTTATAAAATGGTATCTGGCTTGTGGAAAATCCTTTTCTATTATAAAGTGTAAAAGGAATGTAAAACATGATTTATATAAGATAATTTTATTTCTTTATAAATTTTTTGCTTAATGTTAGCGCTAATATGTTATTTATTTTTTTTTCCAACTTGAAATCATTTATCTGATTTTTATCGAAAAATGATTTAAAGGTTCGTGGCAAAAATTCATAGGGTACGCCCCATATATTGTAATACATTTCTGCAATTAAGATTTTTAAATTGTAAAAAAAAAAACACTTGGATAATATTTCGCAAGAGGAAATACTATGAGGCAAACATAAAGATGCGATAATTATTTTTTTCTGGAATCGCAAATTATCGTTGTTAAACGGCTCATTTTGATACGATTTTTTAAAAAGGGGCTAACTCAATATTTTTATTAGGATAATTATTATGCAAGTCTTAAGATTTTGCTCATACGTAGCACAAAGGTTACATCTATTAACAAAATCTCGAGGCTTAGACAATATTATTCTGCCTAAAATATTGAGTTAACCGTTCTTAAAAATCGGCTCAAATCGAGCCGTTTAACAACACTATCCCCAGGTGATAATTAGGAATTTATAAATTTTAGTTTCGACTTACCAGGATGAATTTTTAAATTTAAAAAAAAAATTCGATTTTTGAGGAAATGTATTTTCGGAGTTGTGTATAATAGAATACGTACCCTGTGTTAAATATCAGATATTTTGCAGTAAATTATTTTTTTTTAAATATAAATTTAGGAATATCTGATGAGGAAATTTCATAGGGTAATAACTTTTACACTTGCGGAATTCATTACCAGTATGATCGGATTTATAAAAGTTTAACTTGATAGCGTGATCATATATTACATATATCGCGTGAATTGGGAAATTCCAACGTTCGCAAATTTTTTTGTTAAATGTAGAAATTACTCAATCATGGTATAGAGATAGACCAATACTTTAAATTTCAATTAATATCGGAAGTGTAGCCCGAAACTATGGATGTGTTTCTGGTTAAATAGATTCTCAAGAAAATATTTTCTCATTTTAAAATGTTTACTTCCAAAAGTGTAACTTAATTGATTACTTCCAAATGTGTAATTTAGGTTTTCTAAATGATTCATATGGAATTAATCTAAATATAAAAGATTTGATATTCTAAAAAAATTGTGAACCAACGTATCACAAGATTCAAATTAGAGTACAAACAGCTAGTTGACGAGTACGAGTAAAGTAATAACACTACTCATTCCAATGCAAGAGCTAACCATAGAGACAAGCAATGTTCAATTCATGTCCAGTGATACCTTAGAGCTAAGGCCAATTGATAACGCAACAACTGAAGTGATATGAAATCTAATCAAAAATGAACCATCACTCCCTTTTAGAGCTACAAAACACCCAAAGGCACCTCAGCATATGATACCAGAGGTTTTAGTGCCAGTTCTTCATCCAAACCGTTTATAGAAATAATAGTATCAGTCTTTTTGAGGATGGAAATCAAGCTGATGATATGACCAGAACTACGCCTATTCAAAAAAAAATCGAATAATTTAATCCTAAATGAGCTATAATAGGTATTGGGAGATGGTTGAAAGATGGATCGAAATAACCCAGGAGCTCAAAGGGGCAATAGAAAAAACACCAAATACCATGGGAAAATAAATTATCATAGTCGAGATCGGTGCAGTTTCGCTATGAGAAAATGCTCAGGCTTACTGATTAGATAATTACTTTAGAGTAAAGCAAAAATATTAATTCTAAGTTTTAGACCTGCTCCGAGGCTCCTGACATGCAGAGATAGATAACTTCACAATATACTATACCATCTATACAGATATAGCCCAATAACCAATCTATTACCAAGGATAAAATATGGGTTCCTTCCCATCAAAAACCTGCAAATGATTAAAGACAAGCTAGCTATACAGACCGAGATCTATCATATATTAACGAAACAAATAAATAAAAGAAGTCTGCCAACCAAATATTAACAATAGGCATTATAGGGGAAGGAAGCAAAAACATGAATTGTTAAGTCAGCAAACTCAAGGTCAGGAGTCGTATCCGATCTCAGCTTAATTTTGCAAGTGGGTTTGGTCTGTATATAGCCTTGTATATCATAGAGCTCCATAATCAGAGATGAAGCGATAAGAAATGTTATGAAATATTAGAAAAACTAGAGCCATCATATCCACATACTTTTTTCCAATTTATAGACCTCAACACATGCGACAAGACTAAAACAACTCAACCTATAATGTTTATCTAGACAAAACCTAATATATGGAATTCTAAGATTGAGAGATTTCTAACCCATGTTTAAGGATTCAGCATAAATCGTTATTCCAGAAAAATTAACCACATATACGTCAAAAGGTTCGGTATAATTTGGTGTATAGAATACTCTTTTTACACAAAGGAATCTTATCAAAGAAATATAAATAAAATAATTACCCACTAATTTTTAAAATCTTCTTAGCAAAAATATAAGCTGGCAGTTTATGAGTAATAAAGGATAAATCTCATTCATTTTAAAAAAAAAGCAAAATAATATTAAGGATATTTCTATCCCTTATAAATGCAATTACGAATGTAATTAAAAACTAGGTATTGCAGGGCATTCTGGGGAAGGGTATTATTATTTGAGATATATTATAAATTGCTAAAAAATTAGGAATATTTTTCTTAATGTATTCTCACAAACATATTGAGATACTAAGGAAATTAATACAAATATTTAAAATTTGGAGATTTCTACTGCTTATAAATAATACTTTCCTTTATTAGTGATCTACACTGGGTCTAATTTTTTTATTTACTCTTGAAAATCCTGGCTCAAAATTAGAATACAAATTTTTTGTCCACCAACTCAAGCAGGGTTGCCTTTGCCCGGCCTTCGGCCGGGGTAATTGATGTAGAATACTCATCTAAGTTAATATGTTATATTTAATATAACAAGATTTTTAAGACACTGAAAATTCTTTATTTATTTACTAATAACAATTATGATGTATAATTATCTCATGTTTATAAATATAGCATAATATTAATTATCATATTTTATGGTTGATTTTAAAAGAGGCAATAAAGATTTCCCGTCGGCACTGTGGAGATAGGCGGAAAACTCTTTGCATGAATAGTTATATTTTGTTTAACCAGAAGTTCAGCTTCCAATGATGACGTTCTTTTCGCCAAGCAATAGTCATTAGACTGAATATTCTCTCTGATGAAGCATTTGAATGCGGAATAGAAAATATAAAATTGCATATTTTCTCTATTAATATTTAGTTTTTATTAGAAAGAAAATCCATCCATTTTTCTTAGGTATTCATGTGATTTTTTTTGATAATTTTTCTTCATAATAGGAATAAAATTGTGAATATTTCTCAAAGGGAATTTCTGTATCTATGTTTGGTATTTTATAATTACTAATAATTTTTTGTAATTGTTCACATTCTGGATATTTTTTTAATGTCATAGGGTTAAGATATTTCCATATATTATCTATAATATCATAACGTTTTTCTACATATTCTATAATATCATAACGTTTTTCTACATATTCTATAATATCATAACGTTTTTCTACATATTCTATAATATTTTTTATAAATCTGATTCATTTTTGAAATTTATTGCCTTTTCTGCATCATTATTATGTTGTAAAATATTTTTAAAAATGCTCCCATAAAAATTTGTTGTATTTTTAAATTTACTGAATTCTTTAGTTTTAGGATAAGATCATGTGCTAATACATCTTCAGATTGCAATTGTAAATTTATGTTATTGACTAAAGTGCCAACGTTAAGGACAACACCTAAATATGCCTCTGCTAAATCATCTTCAAAAATTATTTTCAAAACTGGTTAGGTTGCTGATAATGATAAAAAATATTCTTTAAGGGGTTAAAAATACTTAAGCATCCGCTTAATCGCTAAGATTAATGTAAGCAAGTGTGTTGGAACATGGCGAAGTAATTCTGACCATTCTAAATTGCACCATTCTACCAATTCTTTTAAAATTGTAACTCTTGGTCGAGTTGCTAAATTCATTATAGCATTTAATTACTATACTCTCGATATCATATTTGAGAAAAATGATGGCCTTTTTAAACGAATTGTGAAGAATGTGGCATATACAACCCATTGGTATAATATTATTATTATGGCTTCAATTTAGTCCAAATACTTTAATTTTTCCCAAAGTTTACAAATGCGTTATCTGCACAATAGGCCGTTATATTAGCAATATCAAGTTCAGCGAATTTTAAATTTTCTAGCAAGCATCTAGATATATCTTTAGGGGTTTCACTGTCAGACGAAAAAATTTTAAGTAATTTAACGTTTATTCCATTCTTTTGTTGAAGTATCTAAGTAATAAGGGAAATTTTTATATTACCATTATTCTATGCATCTGTTAGGAAAACGGATGATTGTTTTGATGCAATTTCAGAGTCAGGAAAAAGTGTGTAAAATAGCTTGCTTGAACAATCAGCCGACATATAGCTATGGGAATGTTTTATGGAATGATATGAATATTGTTTCTTCAGCAATAACAGACAAGGTTTCATTCTTAAAATATTCGGTTACGTATTATGATATAGAAGTTTTGGTTCTAGATTGCATTTGCCAGCTTATGTTTGTTAGATTTCATATGTTTGATTATATCATACTCTCCACTATGACTTATTGAAAAGCGTGATGCACATATACTACATTTTACAGTCGACCCTGAATGCTGCTTTAACCATTCATATTTTTGTTCCCAACTTTTATTATAACTTACCTTATATATTTTCCTCTTTTTTGTTTTTTTATATATCAATTTTTTATATTGAGAATCATTACTTGAGGATGAGCTTCCTGAAATATTTTAAATTTGCAAATACATTCTGTAACAAGTTCAAGAAATAAATATTACAATTTTTAGATAAAATGAGGTTTTTAAGAAGATACAGAATAAATCAAATTATAAATTAGCATATTTTAAAAATAATAATCTGATCTACTGAATATATATTACCTATATTATAAATTAATTTTACTTAATTATTTTATAAAAATGTTCCTGAATCTAATTAATCAACTCTAGCAATTAATGTTTTTAGATATTTCTTAATTTTATTGTTAATTTAGCAATATCTAAGTTAAATTAAACTAATTATAATTTGTGAGTGTATGTATGTACAATTAATTTATTTCATTTAAAATTTTATGAGCTTTAATATAAGATTTATAAAATCCATATGAGATTTAAATTCATATTATAATTATATTTGATAAACTTTCTAAAAATTGAATGTGTTGTGAGTAATTGATCAATGAATATGATTGGTTAGTTGGATTATTAACTAATACTACAATTTTTTTAAATATTTTAAAATAAATATAAAAATATTTTTAAAAAATTTTAAAATAATATCAAAACGTGAGAAAAAGTGTGAGACTAAGTGTGATTATTTTAATATACTCAAAAAACGTGAGAAAAGTGTGAAGTGTGAGTAAACGTGGGTAAGTAAAAAATTAGGTATGAAATCGTGAGAATCACGGATAAATCATGACATCTGGCAACCCTGAACCCAAGCCAGAATTAATTTAAATATAGAAAAATTTAAATTTTTTTAATTGTAAAAATAATATTTTACATATGAAAATATTGGCATCATATTTCTTGCAAAAATTTTAAAATATACCTATTTATTTCACAAAATTGCATTACATTATATTTAAAAATATTAAGCCCAAACCTGAAGAATTTTTAGTAAGGGCTGGGTCTTGAGGATCTTTACTTTCCTTACTGTATCTCAGTATTATAAAATGCTTATAAAATATATAATAAATAAATATAATATTTTATTGAGTTAGACCTGCAATTTAATATAAGAATAAATATAAAAATTTGTTTGATTTCTCTTCTTATAAAAATCATCTTCGCTATAATTTTGCTCTATTTTTACAAATAGTATGTCAGCTTTTGATATAAAAAACAATAGCTGAGTATTTATTTAATTTAAGGGGAAAAGGGGGTATTTTATTTAAATTATAATCCCTAAAACCCTAGCTCTAATGCAATCTTGAATCACAATTTCTCCAAACCCTGCAGCCTTAAGTTATATATATATATCAAATAATAACAGATTTTGTATAAATACCTGCCCATAAAACTTTACCAAACTGAGAATGTATAAGATTCAGTAGTGATTGAGTGTCATTTGAAGTTGATTGTTTTAATATGTCTAATAATGTACATTGAAATTGGTTTCTCTCAAGGCTCTCTTTGGGTAACAATTTAAAAATTGTAACAAGTTTATCTTTTTAATGGTTTTGTAATATAAAATAATACTAATAAGTTTACCTATAGATATTTTGTCAAAGGGTAGATATTCCTTTTTTATACCTTCTAAATATAACATGGCTAAGTCATAACCACTTGGTATCTATTAATAATATATACATAGTAATAAATAAAATTTATAAACCTGTTGTTTATTTAATAGTAGATTAGATCCATCTATGATTAAATGCATTGCTTCTTCATATTTTTGTTGAGTAATATACCTAGATTACTTTAAATTTATTTAAATAATTAATATGAATAAACCTGAAATAGATAATTTTATATAGCTGATGTGCTTCGTAAAAATCTTTTTCATCTAACTTTACCTGCAATTTACTTAACAATTTGCTAAAAGTATTATTTTTTATCATTTCCTTGGCCATATGATTATTTTATTCAACATACCTTGCATTAAATCGAAACAAAAATATCGTAAAATAAAATTTACCCGTTATATGAAATATAATTTAGAACTTCGATACAAAGTTTTTTAATAGAACATAAGTTTTAAACCTTAAAAAGAGAAATATATATTATGCTTAAAAATTCATAGATATACGATGATGTTGTCAGTAGTGTAACAACGATAAATTTTTCCAAATATTGGTCATTAAATTTTAATTCACAAATAACAATTAAATATAAATAAATAAACATAACTTTTAGACAAAGATTATTTAATTCATACAAACTAGTAAACAAAAACATACCTATAATAATATAAGTTATGAAATATCCATTCACTCATTAGTCTCTGTGATGAATTTTGACAGGAGGGATTCAGCAATAAAATGAGCGTTAGCTGCAAAGATAAGACTACCATATGAGCTTAAAAGCTCATTTAAATATAGTAATATGGCATGATAACAATTCAAATATAAATAAAGACACTGAGATAACAATAATTCTATTTAAGTCAGCAAATTAACCGTAAGCGTTATTATTTTAAAACACTATTTTATTTAATGTTACTTTTTAGCATACAAGTGGTACCTTTTTGAAGGAGATATCCAACAAAAATCTCGGATACTGCAAAAGATGAAAACATTTGGATATGGTAATGGAATTTATCTCAGAAAAATATAATAAAATTGAAATAACTTTTTTTGTTTTAAGGTGGATAAGGCAAAAAATGCATCAGATTAAACCTAAGCATAATAATTCGTTAAATTTAATATGGAGAAATTTAAGAAAATCTAATATAAATCATTAATTTTGCTGAAAGCATTATTAATTGTATTTTAAAACATATTAATGAATACAATATTAATTCGTAGATGGAACATGATGGTGCAAACGTCATATGGCCGATATGAAACCCTGTCAAAATATAATTAATAAAAATGTGTTGGTATAATATTGTACTTTTTTAAATTTATCTAATTCATTTTAGGGTATCCTGTAAATATGCTAGTTATACTCACAAGAAAAATTTTGACCGGAGGTGGACTGATTATTTAGAAACAAGTAATATTTAGGAGTATGCAGTGGCGTAGCTAGGAATTTTCCATAGAGGGGGTCCATATATATATAAGTCTGGGGGACTTCGCTCCCCAGATCATCTTTAACGGGCCTTCGGACCTTTTCATAACCATATCTTCGATAATATATTATAAATATATTTTTTAAATGCATCAATAATATGTTATTATAATTTAGTAGATTATTCTCAATGACTTTATAATAATACTATCCAGAATAATTTCAATAGTAATATAATATTCTTCCACAAACATTAAAACCAAAAAAATATAAATATTAATGGTATTTATTTGATATATAGTCACTTTTAAGTCTTTTGAACTAAAAAAAATAATTTTTGCTCTGGGAAAGGTCCATACCCGAAAACCACTCCCGTAGCTACGCCACTGTGAGTATGTGAGGTTACTTGTGAAGTAGTAATTCACTCTTCATAGAACTTTTAACTCAAAGGTTTCCTCCCATGATTCAGTCGAGGCCTCTCGTCTTTTATTTAAGTGGGCGGATAAGGGGGGGGGGGCTATTATAATTAAATTTTTATTTCAGGTATGTTCGGGAAAACATTTTTCTTAGAACAAGTTATGTCAAAAATAAAATCTCATTTTCGGGTTACTAAATGGATATCGTCTTATTTCGCCATTTTCTTCTAATAAATTTGATTCCCCATAATTTCTTATTCGATATAAAAAGTGCAGGAAGATTATAATAAATAATATATGTAATAAATAATCGTTACTATGTTAGGCAACAATTAACCTTAAAATTAATTTGATGAATAAACACTTTTTCTTCTTTATTTTTATTTTTAAAACGAAAAATAACATTTATAAAATAATTATTATTCTAACCTAAAGTATTTTATATTATTCATTGATTGTATCTCCTCTCGAGAACATTGTCAAAATACTTAATCTTTTATCAAAGTGTAGGCTAAAAAAAATTAAAGCTTTTAACATCATAACGTATAGCCTTTAGTACTTACTAAATTAAAATGATTTGTTTGTTTTATATTGATTCTTTATTTATCATTTGAGATAGGGATGTGAACCTAAAATAAAGTTGATAAATTTGAAATTGTTTTGTTGGACATTTCGAGATGACACCATCGATTTATGGATAACCCATAGAACCCGGTAATATTGACCTGGGGCAGGTTCCAACTCCTTCCAGAAAATCTGTTTGGATGATTAGGTTTTCCTGCTATCAAAATTTCTTAAAGATAAAGTTCGTAATTGCAGAACTCTAATTCGGGTTAGTGTTGTTAAACGGCTCGTTTTGAGCCGATTTTTAAAAACGGCTAACTCAATATTTCATCCATAAAAATATTACTCAAGCCTGAAGATTTTGCTCATAAAAGAAACAAAGGTCTAGACATATATTAACGAAATCTCGAGGCCTAGGTAAAATTTTTCTGGCTAAAATATTGACTTGAACCGTTTAACAACACTAATTCGGGTTTCACATCCCTGATTTGAAATACATATAAAGAAACTTTTTTTTTCTCTAACATATAATAGAAAATATACGAATATAAATTAAATTTACTATTTTTTTAGAAACATGTTCCCGATTTTTGATTATTTTTATAAATAATAAATGAAAAATTTTAACAAATATAATTTTTAATAAAAATGGTATATTAAAATCATAAATTATAAAATAATTATATAAAAAATATTTTATATTTAATTTAGGGTACGATTTGACTTTAACCATTTGACCCTTTCTTTAAAAACCTTAACTGCGAATTCGTAAAGTTCCATGTCCAAATAGTTAGCTTTAGCAATATTTGCCTTTAATATTGGATTCAAATTGGCTACGATTGATTTCGACTTTTCGGAAATGCAATCATCTGTGGCAATATTTGTATTTAACTTAAATTTAAAAAACTGCTTTAACAGATATCTGCTATCCGTAAGATTCTCCAAAATGCCGAACGCTTGAATTCCGAACAATAAATTTATTTTAGCGCTTTCGAGCATGATTTCATCGTAGTCCTTGAAACTAAAATAAAGAGAATGTGTTATTTTTAAAAATGATTTGTAGATAATTAGCTTTTTTTTGAGGCAATGTGTTATTTTTTAAAACTTTAAATCATTTTTTGAGCACGTTTAAAATGTCAAAATCTGATTTCACAGGAAATGTACGCCGTCATGTTAGGAATACCTATCCTATGGATTTCAGATAATTCTTCCGTGAACTTTTAATCTTAAAATTTTTCATATATCTTTTATCTGAATTATAAATGACTCAAATGTTAGCAGCGAAATTGTCTACAAGTCATAAGATAGTTATTCTGAACATGATGAAACATATTTCCGGTAAAATCAGATTTTTAAATTTAAAAAAAAAACGCGTTAAAAAAAATAATTTAAAGTTGTAAAAATAACACATTGAGATGCTAACATATATATCAGAGACCTTCAGAGGAATCAATTGCAACGGCTCGGGGGCCCAAATTTTTTTTTAAATATATTATATTTATCTTTAATTTTTTATAGATAATAATCGCGATTTAAAATATTTGGTGTTAAAATATAGGGCCCGGCCCGGGTATATTTAAAAAAATTAAAATAAGGGCCTGCCCGACTACTTGTGCCGGGATTAGGGCCCGGCCTGCAGATTTTTGATATATATGTTACAGTAAGATCGTGTAATTAGTCAATATGCATGATACCTTCGTCGAATTGCATGATATCTTATAAAATTTTCTAAAAATTGGAGGATCGGTATTCTACATCTGCTAAAATACATTTCAAGGAAAATATTGATTTTTTTTTAAAAAAAACGGTAAATAGCGCAATCATTTGTTTAAAAGCATTTATATACATTTTCAATAATCGGCCTTTGCCAAAAAATGTATTATAGCATGTTTAGGATCCTAGACCTGTACGCTTCCTGTTTAATCCTGCAATTTTTTCCACGCCGGAAAAGCGGCCGATTAAGATGAAGCGTACTGTCAGAGCTCGCTGCCAATTTTTTTTTATGGCGACGTGGGGTGTAAAATTTTTAAAATGCTATTTAATTATATATTTATAAAATAATTTTTTTATTATTTTTTTAAATCAGAATATTAAAATAAATAAAATATGAATTGTATTACTTATAATCATTAATAAAATTTAATTATCTCAATTAATTATAATAAAACGATATTACAGTCTAGGAATAGTTTTAATTAAAATTGGAATAAAAACGTCCCAAAATTCGTTTTAAAATATTTTTTTAAAAAAAAAATTATATTTGACATTAAATTCGTACTTATAGTCGCAACCTAACATTGACATATCGGCTAAATGTCTGGTCATTCGATTATTGGCCCAGTTATCTCGACATTTAATAAATCTTTGAAGAGACATATTACGTGACAAGACTTGTTTATGGCACAAAGATTGTCTCAAAATTTTTCCTCCACACACGAACTCAGTTACATTCAGAGCGCCCACTTTTATCGCTTCATATTCGCTGACGTATCGCGTGACTGGATGTCTCAACATCGTTATGTTATAGTACCTAGTTTCATAGCATAAATAATATGATTATAAAAGTTGTTGACACCCTGAGTGCAGAGATGGGTTCAGGGTATAAACTCTATTTAGCGGAAATTTAGATAAGAAAAATTTAATCTAAACCAATTTCCTAAAATAAGTCCGAACCCACCCAGGTCTATATTACCCCTAGTTTGATAGGTTGTCCATAAATCGGTCTCTATTTGATCTATGGTCTCAAAAGTCAACTTTAACAATTTTAGATTTCTGAACCCTAATTAGATTATAAAAAAATTTAAAAGACTGCCCAACCCAAATGAATGGTCACAATAAAATAAAATTATTATCAAAATAAAATGATCGAAAGGCCATTTCCAGACAGAACGTTTTTAGTTTCAAAGCGGTTTCCTTTTATTAGCGATAAGATGACTCCCTGACCTGCCTGGAAATGGCTTAAGCTCAATACCAGTGTTGTTAAAAGGTTTCGATCTAAGCCAATTTTTTAAAAATGGCTTCAATATTTTAGCCAGAAAAATATTGTCCAAGTTTCGAGATTTCAATTGTATTTGTCTAGACCTCTTCAGGCTTGAGTAATATTTTTGTGGATGAAATAGTGGGTTAGCCGTTTTTCAGGCAGTGGTAAAACGGCTCAATTTGGGCCGATAAAACGGCTAACTCAATATTTTATCTAGAATAATATTTACGAAAGCCTTAAGATTTTGCTCATAGATGGCACAAAGGTCTAGACATTCAAACAGCGAAATCTCGAGGCTATGCAATATTTTTCCGGCTAAAATATTTAATTAGCCATTTTTTACAAATCGGCTCGAATCGAGGCGTTTAACAACACTACTCAATACAGCTGATACAGAATAAATAGAAATGTTTAGGGACACACTCTCCTAATTTTTTTTATGACATATTACTTTAATGAATGTTCAGTTTGGCATATTGTTACGGTGTCATAAGCCTATGCAATTTCGAAAGTAATGGGGGGGGGGGGTGCTCAAATTTTTTTTAGCTCTTCAAATTTCTAAAGGGGACTTGAGCCCTTGTGCGCCCCCCTTTTGACGCCTACTGATTGTGATAGAATTTTTACACTCAACCTTATATGTATATTTATATCTGGTTCTGGAAAAAACGAGAAAGAACATGTACTCTACCTTAAAAACTGTAGAAATTTTTTAAATATTTTTAAAGAAAATAATGAACATTGAAAAAAAAAAAGAAGTTCACCCAGAAATCTGAGAAGACATGGATAGCTAATCGTATAAGTTATTAAAATATTTTATGGAGTGCTTGCGAAGTTAAAAAAAAAATATTGCTTAGAAATTTTTAACCTACTAATAGCTCCGTGAATCAGCTAAATTCACAAATTTCTTTATAAAAATTCATTAAGCTTGAGAGGTGAGAGATTTAAAGCTTCATTGAACTATTTTTTAAAAGGGAAACCCCGAAGCAGTTGACTCCTAGAAAAAAAGGAGTTGAAGAAGAAGGGGGGAGGGGGATTTACGTCATA